GTAAATATTTACCCATGGGCCAAAGGGCTCCATCTTCACACCTGGAAACCTCAGGCCTTTCATCTGCTTTCTTGTGTGTAAACAGCTCCTCTGGGCTGGCTCTGCAGCCTTCCCATCATAGAAGGACTGAGCTGGGAAGACACAGAGGGAGGAGGAAAAGGCCTCCAGTGGAGGTGGAAGGTGGGGGGAGGGGAGGAGATTCAGGATTAGGGGCCAGAGAAGGTTCAGGATCATAGGTGGACAACTAGAAGGCACCTTACTGTCCAGCTCATCTAACTCCCTCCTTTTATGGAGAAGGAAACGGAGGCCTAGATCAGTTAAGGGACTTGTTCCAGGGCACACAGGGAGTAAGTGGCAGAGCCAGGATTTGAACCTAGGTCCTCAGCCCCCAGATCTAGCACCCCCTCCACTGCATCATGCTGTCTTCTCTCTAATGGTGACCATTAGGCTGGGAGCTCTGTGAGGACAGAGACTATCTTTTCTTTATGTCTCCAGCCCTAAGCCAGCCCAGTGCTCGGCACATAGTAGGTGCTTAACAAAAACTCACTGACTGATGATGGCAGCTGGCGTTGTGACTTTGGACAAGTCCCTGTCCTACTCTAGGCCTCAGTCTCTCCCTCTGTAGTAGGAGCAGATGAAGTCCTGGATTTGGAATCAGAGTTCCTGGGTTGGAATCTGCCACTTCAGTTACGGGATTTTGGAAAAGTCATTTTTAATGTCTTTGGTCCTCAGCTGCCTCATCTGCAAAGTAAGTAGGTTAGACAAGATGGACAGCAAGGTCCCGTTTAGCTCTTATGTCCAGCCTCCCAAGCTGGGGAGCTCCAAAAACAAAACAAGTGTGGAGTAAAAAGAGCACCATCTGGGAGTCCGAGGACCTGGGTTCAGATCCTACCTCTGCCCATTTACCGCCTGTGCAGTCCTGGGCACGTCAGTTCCCATCTCTGAGCCTGTTTCCTTAACTGTAAAACGGCCAACTTAGAGGTTCTCCCACTTCTCACCCTTTGTATCTCACAGGAACGTCAGACTCACTCACTCCCTTTGGGAGAGAGGCAGGATCAACTCCCCTCCCTGCAGTCCCCAGGTAGGAGAAGAGGGTAGACCTCAGACATAGCCTGGCTGGGCAGTGGCAGGGCCCAAATGGAAATTTCAGCCTCCAGGGCACAGACCAAACCCTCTCCTCCTGCCGTGACAGGACTAGAGTCCAAACGTCCTAATTCCGTCTAAGGCTGGCCAGCCAGCTCAGGGCTCCAGAAACACCCTCCCCCTCACCATCCCAACACTAGGTCAAACTCCAGGCTCCTGGCTGGGCTTAATCTTTCATTTCCCAAATTAGAAATGGAGAGGAGAAACCAAGGCCCTCTTCCTGGGACATGGGATATGGGGAAGAGAAATGGATCTTTCATATTATGAAAGGCCTCACGATGACTGTCCTGAGCCTTCTCTTCTCTCCTCAAACCCATTTCCCTCCTCCTCTGCAGACAAAGGACACTCTCCTACTTTATTACTTTAAAGTTTTATCGATGCTTAAAATTTTAACATCAGAGTAATTTCTGGATATATCTTCTCTTCCCTATACCCCCCTCTCCATAGCCAGTGAACCTTCACTTATAACAAAGAAAACTGCAAAACCAGGTGACACATAGTGATATCTGGGGACAATGTATACAACATTCCATACCCATTGTCCCCCACCTTTCCAATGCAAAGCCTTTCCTTGTACTTTACTGAGATCCCCCTCCATAGTGATACTCTTCTTCCCTTCCCCATTCCTTAAAATCCTTCCATATTGTTCCTCATTCTTTTTTCCTTTGCTCCAGTCTCTGAGGAAGAGGTGGCCCTTCTCCTTGACAGGGTCAACATCCCATTCCAACCATCTTCTACACCAGGGTACCTAACTCAAGTAGAAAGGCATACAGAAAGATCCCTGCAGGCTGCACACTGTTTTCAAATGTAATGTTATCTATCTTTTATTGTAGTTTTATTTATTTTGTTAAATATTTCCCTATTCTTTGTTTAGTCGTTTTCAGGATTTCAGTCACATCTGACTCTTTGTGACCCTAGTTGGGGTTTTCTTGGCAAAGATGCTGGAGCAGTTTGCCATTTCCTTTTCCTCATGGCCTCCAAGTCCTCTCCTGACACTCACTTCTCAACCGTCTTTGATCCAGCTTCTAAGCCCATCACTCTATGAAGGTCCACTCCCTGGTTAGCGGTGACGTCCCCGCTGGGGCTGACGGTCTCTTGTCAGACTGCAGCCTTCTGGACCTCTTCCTTTCCAGACACCGTAGGCCACGCTCTCTGAGAAAGCCATCCCTCCCTTGGCTTTGGGGTCTGTCCTCCCCTGGTTCTCCTCTTCCCGGTCTTTCTCAGTCACCTCTGATCCACTCGAAATATGAGTGTCATGGATTCACACAGGGACTTCAGAGAGTATCTAGCTCAATTCTTTTATTTTACAGATGAGATGATGTGATTTTCTCAAAGTCCCAGAAATAATAAGTAGTTGAGGCAGGCCTTGAACTCTGGTCTAGTGACTCAAGCAAGACCTCAGGTACCCGAATAAGTACCACGTCAACTGCCCCTTCTGCTACCCCACACTGTCCCACAAGGCCCTGATCTCTAGTCCTCCCCTCTTCTCCTTACACCCTCCCTCGGTGATCTCATCAACCGTGGGGTCAAGGATTCTCTCATGATGACAGGGAATCATGGCTGACTCCCAAATCTACATGTCCATCCAACTCTGGTCTCTTTCCTGAGCTCCAATCTCTCATTAGTAGTTACCTGCCAGACATTTCCACTTGGATGTCCCATTGGAATACATCAAACATTCCATATCTGAAATGGAATTCTTTATCTTCTTTCCTAAGCCTGCCCCTCCTCCAAACTGATATTTTTTGGAGACACTTAGGTGGGGTAGTGGTTACAGTGCTGGGCCTGAAATCAGGAAGACCTGAGTTCAAATCCACTGTTAGATACTTACTAGCTATGTGACCCTAGGCAAGTCATTTATCCTCTCTCTGCTTCAGTTTCCTCCAGTGTAAAAATGGGATCCTCCCTCCCGGGGCTACAGTGAGGACCAAATGAGAAATCTGTAAAGCTCCTGGCACAGGGCCTGGCACATAGTAGGTGTCTAATAAATGCTTGTTACCTTCTCCTTCCCCTCTTTTTTCTTTGGAGGACACCGTAATCCTCCTGGTCTTATAAATTCTCCACAATATGTCACCCAGCTCTTCCCACCAGTCACAGTCTTCACAGCTATCATCTGGGGAAATAGCTTCTGCAGAGAAAGGGAGCAGCTGTGCCACCAATGCCAACTGGCGTAAAAAAGGCAGGCAAGACAGCCCCACTACTGCCATGTTCACCATTCTCTCTCAGACCCTGATGAAGATAGCCCAAGAGCCTTGGGAACAGTAGGGGCCCCTCTTCACAAAACACCAGCTCAGCCTCCAGCCCAGCCCCCAAAGCCACCATTGAGGGGAGGGAGGCCTGCCTGCCTCATCACCAACTGGGACAGCTGCCCCCAAAAGTCAGATAGACACAGAAGCCCCAGGATTGGCAGCATCCCCCAGACCACAGATCCTGCTTCCAACCCAGGCCTCACAGCCATCATCCAAGGAACAGCTCCTATGGAGAAGGGGCCAGCCATCCCCACCAGCTGCCTCCCGGAGGCCATATCCAAGCAGGCAAGCCAGCCTAGATGAAGCTGCTGGACCCCTGAGGGAGGGACAGACAAGTCAAACCCCTACCCTGTTGGCCACCATCTCCCTTGAGACCCTGACGGAGGCATCCCAGTACAAGAGCCATGGGGAGAGCAGGGCTTCCAGCTTAGAGCCCTCAGGCATCCTCCTAGAAGCAGCCCCCATGGAGATGCAGCCTGGCCCTGCTCCTGCAGGGGCTGTAGCCACAGCTACCGAAGACCCAGAAAAGCCTTCTTCTCATCCCCAAAGTCATCGGCATTCTCATTGGCTCAACATCAGAAACTGTTATGATTTCATCAAAGGAAATGACATTACAGAAGAGGCATCACCATCTGCTTTGCTACTACATCACCCTGAGGATCATGGGACTTTTCCATCTGACTTGCAACAGAAACTTTCCATGTGTTGTCTCCCTCAACTTGCTTACTTTTCTATTTATATTTTCATGGCTTAGCAAAGTGCTTTGTACATGCTAAGTGCTTAATAAATGCTTTAATCATTTATGCATTCATTCACAGAGCAACCTAAGTTTAGGCCCCCTTGCCTCATCCTACAGCAACAGCTTCCTCATTGCTTTACCTGCCTACAGTCTCTCCCCACTTCAATCCCTCATCCACATACAGAGCTGCCAAATAATTTAAGGAGAAGGCATAGGTCAGACCATGTCACTCCCTGGCTCAAACATCTTTAGTGGCTCCCTATTGCCTCCTTTGTAAAAAAAAATGTGTACACACACACACACACACACACACATTAAAGAACTCTTTACTTTGACATTCAAAGCCCTTCTCAAACCGACTCAGATCTACCTTTCCAGAATTGTTTCTTGTTACTCCCTTTCCTGTACCCTAGGGTAAATGCTAGCATTCTAATAATAGCTAATAATAGCTATTCTAAGCTCCCAGCAAACTGGCTGCTTGCTGTTTCCCCAACTCAGCATTCCATGTTCAGGCTAGATGCCTTGGGGCAGGCAGTTCTCCAGGCCTGAATGCACACGTAGTAGGCGCTTGGTAAATGCCGGTGAAATTGAACTGAATTGGGAAGGTGAGCTGAGGACCATTTGTCAGCAGGGGAGAGGATGTGTATTTTCACAGATGGAATGAAACAAACTGGGGAAACCGAGGCCCGTTTTCAGAGGCAGGGTGGTGGGTGAAACCGAGACCAATTTCACAAATAGAGGATACTATGGGGGGAAGTTAAGCCCATTTTCTAGACCAAGAAGGCATGGACCCAGAATAGACGTGCTTGTTTCCCCCGGCTAGGGGAAGAGGCCTCGGAGCCGGCAGTGTGGCCCAGGGCGGGGCTTACCTCGGGGAAGCAGCTGTCTACGACTTCGCAGGAAGCTCTGGAAGGCCGCGTAGTCATTGTACACGGCGTTCACGCCCACGCTGCGGCTGTCCAGCCAGTGCACGGCGGCGGCCCCCCTGGCTGCCACGTCCAGGCCCTTCACTCGCAGGGGTCGGCTCAGCTCCAGCACCAAGAGGCCGTTCAGCAGCTCCCCACCGTGATAGGCGCCGGGCCTCAGTTCCAGTTGGAAGATGCGGATTCCGCTGGGGCCCATAGCGTGGTGCCTCAGGGCAGGTTAAGCGGGGAGCAGCGCTTCACTGACAGTCCAGGCTGGGGGAATGGGGGCGGGCAGGAAGCGTCCCGGGTGGCTGCTGCTGCTCTGGGCAGCCTGTGCCTCTAGCCAGGGGCAGGTGGAGGGACTAGCCTGCTCTCGTCTGGGGGCTCTGAGCCCCAGGGAATGGAGAGATGGAGGAAGGAAGAGGACCAGGGTAGGGTCTTCTCTGGGCCCTTCGCTCAGCCCTGCCCACCGTGGCAGGATAGCTAGGTTGTCAAGGTTGGGAGGTCTGGGTTCAGACTCAGTCGGAGGCAGGCAGCTGCTGGGCTTGAAGCTGAACTCTGTGGGGCCCTTACGTGGCCCAAGGCCACACCTTGTCTGCAAGCCCCGCCCAAGGGCATCCTCCCTGCCCCCGCCCGGAAGGTTCCCACCCTCGGGGCTGGAAATTCCGTGCTTGCGGAGTTGGGGAGACACCGACGGGCGAGGCTGGGCTTGTCGCTGCGTGCTCAAGACTACTGGGAGCTTTGGGAAAGGTGGCTCATAGCTCTAGCCGGGCGTGGAAAAATGGACTGTCAAAGAGGAGAGTGGAAACAGGGCAGACTCATTCGGAGGCACTGATGAACCGTGCAGGCCGGGGAAGCAAAAATAACGGACTTTTAAAAAATAGTTCTTTAAGGTCTGCAAAGAGCTCATCCATCCATCCATCCATCCATCCATCCATCCATCCATCCATCCACCGTGTTCTTTCTTTTCTCACCTATGAGAAGTCATGCACTTCTTGTCCCCGGAGGGGTTTAAACAGAGGCCCTTTGACTACTTATCAGGGATGTTGAAAAAAGGTATTCGTGACTTGAATGTGGATGACAAGAAGAACTAAATTTGCACAACACTTCAGAACGGCTCCATCCAGCAATTCCAGAAAAAATCACCAATGGTCAAGTGGTGGGATGAACAGACTCATTGAGGAGTAGGGAGTGGGGAATTCAGAGACCTTGTTTTATGTTCCAAGGGCCCTCCCAGCCTGACATCCTATGTTCTAAGGGCCCTCCTAGTTCTGACATCTTTTCCTCTAAGGGCCCTCCCAGCTCTGACCTTCTCTGTTTTAAGAGTCCTTCCAGCTCGGACATCCTGTGTTCTAAGGCCCCACCCTGCTGTTATATTCTGTGCTCACAACAGTGTCCCTAGGTTTCAGCAAAGCAAGTCTTCATGCATATCTTTGAGGACCAGGTGGTCAATGTGGGTGAGACAACAACACAGTTGGGAGGATTTAGGGCTGATTGACTGACACCCCCCCCCCAGTTGTCACTGCAGTCTTCATGCAGCTGGAGAGCTGTCTTTAGTGCCGTGTGCTGAGTAGCTCCTTGAACGGGGCCAGTCCATTCTTCTGGATGTCTTGGATGACAGCATTAATAGCATTTTGTCAAATGTGACAGTAAGAATCAAGGCCTTTCCATTCTCCAAAGCACTTCACATAACATTATTTCCTTTGTGCCTCACAACAACCCTGTGAGGTAGGTAGCACAGGTATTAGCCCCATTTCACAAATATGAAAACAGACTCGTAGAAGGCAATTGACTTGGCCACAGCCCACACAGCTATTTTCAGAAGCAGGATTTAAACCCAGGTCCTCCTGATTCCAAGTCTAGCGCTCTTGACTTGGAAAATGGAGTTGGAGATGTTGAATGAAGATCTCAATTGGCTAAAGCATTAGGTTGCATCTAATGGAATTGAACAGATATAACCTTGGGTAGAAAGAAAAATTAACCTTACAAGCTAAGGGAATTGTGGCTGAGAAAGATCTGCAATTAGATTGCATGGAGTGTCACATCTAGAATGAAGGGGGTGATGATTCAGTTGCCCCTCTGTCTTGGTCATATCATGTCTGGAATATTGCATTCAATTTGGGACATTGTATTTTAGGACTAGGAGTGTGACCAGAATAGTGAGGGGTGTGGAAAACAGGCTTTATGATGATTAAAGAAACTGGGGATGTTTGCCCTGGGAAAATGAAGACAGCGGGGATATGATAGATGTCTTCAGGTAGAAGCGAGAGGCAGATTTGGTTCCATCTAAATAGAAACTTTAGAGCCATCTGAGGCCATTCTATGCTTGGACAGTTCTAATCATTAGGAAGTCATCCCTTTTCCTAGACTCCCACTTATAGGAACCTTGCCCTTCCAGGGACACTGGGTGACCTCTTATAGGGAAAGCTGCAGAAGGGATTGCTATATGGGCATAGCTTGGTCTAGGTAGCATCTGAGCTTTCCTCAGAGATCCTGGTTCTGTATCTAATGTCAGTCCTGGCTCTGCTATTCTTTACCCTAAGGTCCTTTCTCTGACATTCTGGGTTCTAGGATCTTTCTCAGCTCTAACTTGCTACTATAGAATCTACTGTGTGCTCTGAGGTCTTTCCCAGCCCTCAACACTCAACACTCCAAGGACCCTCCTGGGTTCTGATGGCCCTCTCTGACATTGTGTTCTAAGAGTCCTCCCAGCTCTGATATCCTATGTTCTTAGGACCCTCCAAGCTCTGACATTCTATGTTCTAAGGGCTCTCCCATCTCTGACATTCTGTGTTCTAAGACTCCCTACACCCTTCCAACTGACATCCTATGTTCTAAGGGCCCTCCCAGCTCTGACATTCTAGGTTCTAAAGGCCCTCCCAGCTCTGATGTCCTTTTCTAAAAGTGTTCATGTTCTCAGTCTAAAACTGTCTGGCTCAGGTCCTGGTGGGAGGGAGAAAAGGATCTGGCTGGATTTGCTTCTCTTGAGGCTCTGACTGTGGCCTGAGTGAGGGCACGTAATGTTTTCTGCCCTAGCGGAAAGGAAAACAGGCCTTATCTGAGGTGCCCAGGCCTCCTTCTGACTTGGGCTCAGTGCCTGATACAGGCCCTGTCCTGTCTGGGGCCCTTGTATTTGGTGTGCCTGATATCACCCCTTGGGATTCCCAACAACAAGCCCCTCCCCCAACCCCCTGCAGCCGCTGAAGTAAAAGGAAGAGCTTTAGATAGGAGTGATCTTGGGGCTTATCAACCTGGGGCCCATGAACCAGTTAAAAATATTTTGGTAACTGAATCTCAATAGAATGAATGTCCTTTCTAACCCTCTGTATTTGATTTTATTCATTTTAAAAAGAGACCCAGAGGCTTTAGCCACTGCCAGAGGGCTCCATGACACGATAAAGGTGAAGAAGCTTCTCACTGGGGATGAACCGGGAACCACTGAAAGGGTGTTGCTGAGAGGTACCCAGATAAGTGATAGAGCCAGTAGCCCAAGGCCAGCTCTCTGTTGGGGGGACAGACTGAAGCTGCTACACTCAGTAGTGACAGCATAGAGCGAAGGACTCCACGCCAAGAAATGGATTCAAGACATTTAGTGAGCACCTACTGTATGCAGTACTTTCAGCTTATTCTAAATGAGGGCTTTGGGAGAGAGGAGGTATTTGGACCTTCCTTTCCCTCAGTTTCAGTTTTTAATTCCCACCCCCCCTTTTCTAGCCCTTTGACCACAAGTCTCACTCTTTCCCTCTATCTTAATCACAACAAGCATTTATTAACCCCCTACTATTTGTAAGAATGCTGGAGATGAAGATGGATGTGTCACAATCCCTGCACTTAAGGAGATCATTATATCCTGATGGGAGAATATGACGATGGACAAGTATGATACAAAGTAGGACGCCACGGGGGCAGAGGAGGGGCGAAGCAGAGTGCGCTAGGAAAGTCCGAGGAGGGGAGTGCGCGCTCACGGGGTGTATGTGGAAAAATCGAGGGAGGCTTTATGGTGGAGCCTCGAAGAAGCTTTCAACGGTTGGGAGATGGAGCGAGGCTCAGCTAGGGGCTCAAACTGTCCCCAGCAGAGATACACAGGTTGGCCTTTCTGGGGCCATATCTCCAGAACCCCATCTAAGTCCCATTCTGAGCCCACGGTCCCTTCTGGGTGACACTCCTAGAGTTTTCAAGCAGTCTCCGGGTGCCCTCCTGTGGTCAACTATGGAATTGCCGCCTAGGAGGTGGGAGACCCAGTAGAACCCAGAATGCCAGGGATGCTGAAGGGGCCAGCCCAATGCTCTTATTTTGTAGGTGGGCAGGCTGAGACTTATAGACAGTGAAGGACTTCAATGATTTCTCCTCCTTTTGTTGTACTCAATTGAAAGCAAAAAGCTACCTGCCTTACCAATTCATCCATTTTCCAAAGTGACCTCACCACCCTGGTCCAGCGAAGCACTCGGGCCCCAAAAGGATGAAGAAGTCCTCCAGCACTCAGCACAGTGCCCGGTACACAGCAGGCACTTAATAAATGCTTGTTGCCTCCACTCAAAAAAGAAAACAATACACATCCTCTAGGCCAGTGGTTCTCTGGGTGTGGTCCAGGGACCCTGGGGGTTCTTGAGCCTGTTTCAGGCGGTCTGCAAGATCAAAACTGTATTCATCATAATACTAAGACATTTTAATTTCTAATACAGTAAATATCGATAGCTAGAACCCAGATAAACAGAAGCTCTTTAGGGTCCTGAGACCACAAAGTTGGAGACCTGCTGCTCTACACTAAGGAGGACGGGCCACCCAGAAGAGGGTGGTTCTCTGGGCCATCCTGGAACCACTCGGCTTAATCTGTGGTCGAGGCCTTGGTGTCTGTGCTCCCAGGATTAACCCCCTCGGGACCAGATGGACCGAACTGAATACGCCCGACTCCCCTGCCACTTGAGGGTGGGCAGGGCCCAAGAGCCGACCACCACACTCTCGTGTTGTGGCTCCCATGTTGCCAAATCCATTTTCCTCAACCATAGTTTGGGCTGATTGAGAACCTCTGAGCTATTACCTCCCAAGCACAATTCAAAACCCTTCTAAGGCCCTCAACAACATTCCCCCAGAGTGGCTCCAGCCACTCTGTCCCCTCCTGCCCTCTGGTCTCTCTTTAAAAGCCCACATCAACCACCTCCTCCAGGAAGCACTCCCTGACCACGGGATGTCTACAGAGCCCATCCTCTCTCTGCCTCTCATCCCCGCACTCTTGGGTTGGTTATCATCTGGACTGCCAGGGCAGGGATAAGCTTAGCTACTGCCCTCACCCCCCTTCTCCAAGGGTTCTCAGCCTTTTTTTGTGCCATGGATGCATCAAGTGGCCTGAAGCCTAGGGGCCCCTCAGAATCATGTTTTTAAATAACTGAAGAGAATACTAAAATTCAGTTAAAAATTAGTGAACATAAAGATGTCAGTTTCTCCCCCCCCCCCAAGTTCATGGATCCCTTGAAATCTCCCCATGGGCCCCAGGTTAAGAACCTTTGCAGACGATGGGTGATTAAGCAGTGTTCGATGGCGCTGAAGATCTGTTAGGGCCCTGGCCTCTGAGTCGGGGGGGGGGGTCAAGGTGGGGCCCCCTCAGGGAGGGGCCTGGAGGAGGGAGAGGGCACAGGGGGCAATCCAGCCTCATTCCCTCCCTCGTGGACCTCTAGCTGGCCACCACTGAGCCTCCTTCCTCTCAGGCCCTACGAGGTCCAGTGAGCCAGAGGAGGGTCAGCTGAGATGTTGAGCCAAAGAAGGAGCGAATGGCAGTGAAACCTTCCCCATCCCACCCCCACCCCCATACAGTTTTAACTCTGTAGCCAGGCCCTTGTGTAAGTCAGCCTCCATGGGTCAGAAAGGTGTTAGGAAAGAAGTGGAAGGGACCTTCCAGGAGAAGGCTAAGAACACTGGGGTCTCAGGCCTGTTTTCAGCCATTTTCTTCTTGTCATCTACTTCCTGACCCCCCCTTCCCCTTACCACCCAACTTCCATATTCACCATAAGCCAGAGCAAGCCTGTCCCACCCCACTGCAACCCCACAGGAACAGGACTCAGAGAAGGGGAGGGAGGGCTTCGCTCCTTTACACACACCCCCGATCTGAAAGTGGGCGAGCAGCCAACCTCTTACCCCATCACCTCCCCTGGGATGGGAGGAGGGGTTGGGAAGAGAGTCCTCCTCACTCAAGCCTTCCCCAACTCTCTATGAAGACTCTAGTCAATTCTCAGCTGCCCAAGAAACAAAAGACCCAAAGACTCTTTCCCTCGGACCCTGACATCAGAAGCTGGCCAGCGGAATGGGGCTTGGGGGAGGAAGGGGGCTCAGCATCTGCAGGCCCCCCCCAATTTCCAAGGAGCATCAGTGGCTGAGTCCCTGCTGTGAGGCTCCCTCCCCTCAGAGGGAGCACTGGGGTTTTGGAGGGGAAGGCGGAGAGGCAGCTGTGGAGGGGGAGCCGCTGCCCTCAGCCCTGGGGACCCAGACCAGGAGAGGAGGTGCCGCCAGGGCTCAGGGCCCCAGCTGAAGTAGGCCGGGCTCCACTCCAGCATCTTGAACTCCAAGAGAGATAACTGTACAGGGCTTTACAGAAAAAGCAAATGAGATCAGCCACACAATGGCTAAACATAAAAGGTCCGAGTCAAGTCTCCCTGCCCCAGCCACCGCAGGCTCACCCACTGTCTGGGGCCAGCGGGGCCAGGCGCCGGCGGGGGGAGGTCCCGGCGCCTGAGTCCCCAGCCATGGCCGGCACCTGGCGTATGGCTTGGGTGATGAGGCCGGGCAGAGCCTGGAGGGTGGCCCCCAGAGCGTCTAGCTTGGTCTCCAGGGCTGTGATCCGCTTCTCCAGGTCCTCGCTGTGCCCCTGGAGTTCAGCCACCATGTCATACATGACGTTCTGGGTCTGAGAAGGACAGGCACCAAGGTTAGAGGGCCCCAGAGGAAGGCCTCCTGGCCTAGGAGGCTAGGGCCTGGCTCTGGACGCTTATGAGCCACGCTAGCTCGTCAATCTTTGGCTCTTGGGCCTCAGTTTCTCTGAGTTTGCCAGAGAGCCAATTCTAAGGCACAGACCCTACTCTGCTCCCCTCCAGCCCTGCTGCCAGGACTGGGCACAGGGCCTCCCCCACACTTCAGAGGCTGGCTGGCACCGGGTTATTCCAAAAACCCTGGACCTTGGGAGCCACAGAATTCTAGAACTGGAAAGGGAAGAAGCGTCCCTTTGTCCATCCCAAGCGCAGAAATCCTCTTCACAGATGGGATACAAACTAGTTTAGCTTGTCCAGAAAGAAAAAGCCTCCCTCCTAGCACACTGTGCCACCTTCTCCCACCCCGGCCGTCATGGGCAGGGCCCAAACCTCACCTTAGCCAAGTCCACCAGAGTGTTAGCCTGGTCACTCAACTTTCTCTGTTCCATCTTCACACTCCTCAGCCTACAGAGACATGGGGGTGGGGGTGGGGGTGGGGAGAGAGGGCCAAGGAGGTGAGACTCAGGGCCAGAGCTGGGGGGTGGCCCCAGGGGCCTCCACCCCTTCATGCAGGTGCCCCAACCCTTCCCCTCCAGCCCCGGGGGATACGCCTCACAGGACATGCAGCAGGAGGATGAGGTGGGAGGGGGCAGCCTGTAGAGCAATGGAGGGTTTCGAGGGGCAGTTCCCCCGGGCCCCCTCATTTCCTCCACTCTTTCCGCTCCTAGTTGTGATCCACCCGGAGTCAGAAACGAAGCTGGCGTCATGGTGTGGGGCATGGTGACTGAACAGTGAGGGAATGCATGACTTGGGGGCTGCCTCCCTTCCCTCCCTCCACCCAGAGAGGGAGCACCTGGGACCCAAAGCCAGGCCAGTGGTGATGATGCCCAGATGTCTAAGGTGCAAGGTGATGGTGGCTGGCTATGCCACTGAGCCCCTTCTGTCCTAGACCAGCCCCAGGGCAGAAGCTGCCCTGCACCTGGGCCTGAGCAAACGCCCTGGCCCCCACTGCAGATAGGCAGTGGCCTTGCGACACCCTCTGCCTATCCCTCACCCCAGGAGGCCCACCCATTCAGACCAGCTTGGTCTTTAGGTCCTGGGCCCTATCCTTGGGGTTGGGGGTCTGGACTCTCCCTGGGGAGGGGGAAGAAGGGGCTGCCCGGTGGTTCTCATGGCCAAAGATGGGCTGGATTGTGTCTTCCCCTGTCCCTCCCCTGATGCAGAACCATGCAGGTAGTGGTCAAGCAACTGACCCCCAGTGGGTGGGGGTGGGACTTACTTCTGAGCCCTGGTGAGACCAAGCAGAGCAAAGAAATCACAGTGTAGATTTTAATCAGCGCCTGCCCCAAGCATGGTGCCCATTAGCTCTGCCCACCTCCCCACCAGGACACCCCGGAGGGGACAGGCCCAAGCTGTGCTAGCCTTGGGGACCCTTTTCAAGAATCTGTGACATTTGCCCAACCAGCTAGCATCCTTGAACAGCTGCCTCTCAACCTGGAATCTTCAGAGAGGAAGAAAGGCACCAGCCAGCAGGGGATGGCACTTGTTTTACTGCAGAGCCTACCCCTGACCCCCCAGCACAGCTAGGGCTCTCACCCAGTAGAAGAATATGAACAAAGAGCAGGCTAGCAGTGCCCTGGTCAGGATGTGGCAGACCAGCTATATCCCAACCCCCAAAAAACTGACCAGTCTGGGGCTCCAACCTCTGTTCTCAAACCCAGGCAAGGAGACAACTATGGGCCGTAGGGATTCCAAAGCCCTTGCCACCCCCACATTCCACAGTGGGGACCCAAGTCCCTGGCCTTCCTGCCCTGCAGCTCACACAGCGTTGGGGTTAAAAGAAGCAGATGCCCCCAAGGCTCTCATGCTGAGCAATGATGACTACAGCCCTTCCCAGCCATGGCTTTTGGGGCACTCCTGGAGGAGGGCACCAGTGGGAAGTGTCTAGGATCTGTGCCCCTCCCCATTTAACCAGAAGCACCCCCAGCTCTGAGTCAGCAGCCTGAGTCAGCCACTTCTCCCCTGTTCACGGTGTGCACAGACTGGGGGCAATTCCACCTCCTGGATGGGCTCCCTTGAGTCCCAGCTGCTTGGGCCTTCTCAGCCCACCCAGCAGCCAGCAGGGCCCCAGAGCACCCAGCTGTGTGCCAAGCAGACCGAGCAAGCCCTCAGCAGAGAGACACGAGGGTCAGGAGACCCGGCTGCTATTCCCACCCCAATCACTGACTCATTTATGTCGTGACCTTAAGACATTCTGAGAAAGATTAGCTTTCTCTCTTCTTTCCCACCTGCTACCTTCATGGGAAGACACTTCAGCATACATATTAATCCCCTCTAGCACCTGCCTTCCCAGTTCCTCCATCTCAACTCTACTACCTTCAGAGATGGTCAGAACCCGGATCTTGCCACGACCCCCAAGTGCCAGACTTCCCAGTTCATACACTTCAGACCACCATCATCAGACATAACCTCCTAGCATCTTGTCTTCTCAGCCTGCTCTCCATCCTCACTGTGCCCTCTCAGCCCTCTGCCCCCCAGTCCTTCCCAGGCCGTCCCCCCTGCACCTGCCTCTCCATCCCTCGGCCTGCTCTCCATCCTCACCGTGCCCTCTCAGCCCTCTGCCCCCAAGTCCTTCCCAGGCTGCCCCCCCTGCACCTGCCTCACCATCCCTCGGACTGCTCTCCATCCTCACCTTGCCCTCTCAGCCCTCCACCTCCCAGTCCTTCCCAGGCCGCCCCCCCTGCACTGACCCCACTGTTCTTCCTGCCCTCTGCCCCTTGGTAAATCAGCTCACTTCCCTGTGCTCTCTGCTCCAATCCCTTGCCCCCATGTCCTACTATTCATGCAACCTTGGATTGCTCCCTCATCTGCCACCTTCCATCCTATTCATGGGCTGTTGAATGGAGCTGGAGAAGGCATGAAAACTGAGGGGCCTGGGTGTGCCCCCAATTCCTGTGACATCATTTCGGCCAGGCCCTCACTGCCTGGAAGCGAGCCCCTTACCCTTCCCTCTCACCACACCAGTGATTCCCAGCCTTTTCATCCCTCTCGAGCTCCCCTCAGCTGAGGTGCTTCACTGAAGGCCCAGACCCCTCTTCTCCCTCTGCCACATCTCCTGTCACATGCTTCCTCCACTCTCTTCTTTCACCCCGTCTCTTGTGACAAGGTGACCCTTCTCCTTGTCAAGGCATGTCTTCTCTAGCACAGTGTCTCCTCTCATCCCCTCCCTCTAATCTTCTGTCTCTTCCTGAATATCGGCTGCGTGTCCATGTCTTCCCCAGCCTCCCCAAAGCCTTGCTTGAGCTTGACCCCACCTTCCCCGCTAGCTCCCATCCTCTGTCTCTCCTCCCCTTCCTGGCCAGACTCCTGGAGAAAGCCAGGACTCTTGGCATTTCTGCCTCCACTCTCACCATGCCACCGAAACTTTTCTAAAATTGCCAATTATCTCTTAATGGCCAAATCGAATGGGCTTTTCTCAGTCCTCAGCTTCCTTGACCTCTCTAAGCGAGGTCTCTGACACTGCCGATCACCACCTTTCCCTACAGATTCTCATCCTCAGCTGTCGGGATGCTGCTTCCTCCTGGTTCTCTGACCTGTCCAACGGCTCCTTCTCAGTCCCCTTTGGGGTCCTTCCCCCCCCCCACTACTGGTCCTTCCCCTGGAGATTATTCTCCATCTACCCTGTCTATATCTCACACACACGGTTGTTGGCACGTGGACTACTGCATTAGACTGGAAGCTCCCTGAGGACAGGGGCCACATAGTTCCCTCTTTGTGTTCCCAGAACGGTGCCTGGCACAAAGTAAGTGCTTGCTTGTTAGCGAGCTGAGAACCAGCTTTCTATCCTTGTTTCCTTAAAACAATACAGAAAAAACCCCCACAGTAACTGTAAAAGAGTTACTAAGTGTTTGTGCCACAAGGAGGCAGTGTGCAGCAGGGGAACGGACCGTCTCTTGCAGACTATTTCACCTGCAGAGACCTTGTTCAAGTCTCAGACCCTCTCTAGGATTTAGTTCTCACTCTGAGGCGGGGGTGTCCCCCAGGATTGCTGGGGTCCCTCCTGGCAGCTCTGGCAGGGAGTGTCTCCTTACTGTCCCTTTATCAACAATGCCTAGTACGTGGCAGGTGCCTCATCCATGGGCGAAACGCCGACCTTGGTGCTGAAAGATCCAGGTTCACATCCCAGCTCCATCACCTGGTAGCTCTGACCCAACTTGGGTAAATATTCATTAGCCCTCTCAGTCTGCCCACCTGTAAAATGGACATGACTTGTGCTCCCTAACTCACAGGAGGGGGTGAGGGGTAGCTAGAGCCGTGCAAGCGTCCTTCCCGGGGACCCTGCATGTCCTCAGTACAGACTGTCAGTGCTGAGGGCTCCTCCTAGGCTGGCAGGGCCCACCGCTGCCCCATTCCCAGCAAGGGGGCCTGGTGCACTCTGGGAGCAGCTGGAAAAGGGGCAGAGATTTTCTGGGCAGCAAAATGAAATGTGCCTCTCTGTGCCTCCAGTGTTAACAGACATGCACATACACACACGCTCTGAGAACACACTCGGGGGAGGTGGGTGTTCCATGACTTTATCAGTACAACGGATGCCAGTGAGGGAACTCCCACCTTCCTCATGACTGAGCTCAACACCCCCCCCAGGGGGCCCTTCCTGGTTCCCCCCTCCTCTCTAATAAGGCTTGCAAAGTGCTTTACAAATATGTCAGCTGATCCTCACAACAACCCTGGGGCCAGGTGCTGTTATTATCCCTATTTTACAGATGAGGAAACTGAGGCCAAGAGGTTAAGTGACTTGCCCACGCTGAGGGTGGCTGGGGCAGAATTTGAACTCGGGCCTTCTTGACTTCAGCTCACAGTCTGGCCTAATTCTCTAAGGTTACCATCCATTTATTCTGTACACAGCTCCTAGGTAGGTTCTTATTTATCCATGTGGTCTCCTCGTTAGAATGGGAGCTTTCGGAGGGCAGGGAAAGTATTACTGTGCCCCAAGTGCTGAATAAATGCTCCACTGATTTATCCGCAACTCAGGGCAATGCAGTCTGAGGGAGGGTAAAGGAGCCTGCGCCAGGACAGAGAGGGATTGAGCCCAAAAGCCCTGTCTCCCAGCCCCACACCTGCTCTCGTCACCTTCCTGGTCTGGGAGGGCTGCGCTGCATTCTCATTCTGGGCCCAAATCGCTGGGCTGGCATCAGCTGCCTCATTAAAAATACAGGAGCAGTGCACTCAAATTCATCCTCAGAACATGCAGCCTCAATGCCCTCCCAATCTAATGTCCACAGTGTGCTTCCCTGGGAGCAAGCCCAGGAGGTAGACATGATGACCGCTAGCTTCCCCATTTTCCAGAGGAGGGAGCTGAGGCCAGGAGGGGGTGACTCGCCCTGGTCACCATGAGTGCCCCAGCCAGCCTTGAGACCCGGCCTTCTGACTCTGAGCCCAACCCTCCATCACACTAATTTTATGCAGCGAATTCATTCTCCTAATTATGTGTAGGGATAAAATTAATTTTCAGGCAGCCCTAATATCAACAATCAGTGAAGCGCCTAGAAAACCAAAAAGCGAGGAAGAGCTGGTCTTAGGATTGCCCAGCCCAGGTCGGGCATCCAGGAATCCACCCACTGCTCTGAGCCCAAGACTGCCCCCTCCAGCCTGCCAGGCCTCCTCCCAGCCTCAGGCCTTGGCCTGCGGGCTCCTCCAGGCCCTAGGCGAGCTCAGCCCCCTCCCTGCTGTCTCACACCAGCCCCCAGGCCTCCCACTGCTCTGAGCCCAAGACTGCCCCCTCCAGCCTGCCAGGCCTCCTCCCAGCCTCAGGCCTTGGCCTGCGGGCTCCTCCAGGCCCTAGGCGAGCTCAGCCCCCTCCCTGCTGTCTCACACCAGCTCCCAGGCCTGCCCCACAGCTCTGACTGCCTTTGCTAGATGTGACCCACCACGTCAACGCAAGCTTGTCCTCCTCTTCCTCTAATGGGGCAGTGACCTTTCCAGCTCCCCCATCTCTCCTGATAGCCTCCTGCCCTGCCCATTCTCCAGGCTCCAAACCTGATACAGCTCAGACTCATCCCTTTCTCTCCACAGCCAAGTCCAATCAACCTGTCTTCCTTCAAGGCATCTATCTCTCTTGGCCACTCCCTTCTTTTGTACCCCCACAGCCTCTGGCTGGGCCCATAGCCTCCTCCCCTCTAGCTTGGCCTACTGCACCAGCCTTCTAACCGGCCTCCCCTTCTTTCTCCCTCTGCCCCTCCAAGACCAGCTGCCAGAGCCCCCTTTCCAAAAGGCAGCTCTGGTTAAGCCCCTATCCTCCTGACACTCCCCATGGCCCAAAGGAGAATGTCTCTGCTTCTTAGCCTGCTATTCAAAGCCCTTTCGTGTTCTAGCATGTGGTCATGGAAACGGCCTGGCCTGGGAGCCAGGAGGGTCAGTGCTGGACTCGGCATCCCCTTGGTGGAACTCTTTCCCTTCCAGGGTCTCAGTCTTCCCTCATCTGCAAAAGGAAGGCGTGGACCGGACGCGTAAGGCCCCAAGGCCCTGAGGTGCCGCTTGTGACACTGTATGCCCTGTATTTCCAACACGGCTCCAGACGGCCTTTCCAGGCTGACTACGTGTTACTCCCTCACACGCAATGTCCCAACCCCAATTTCCTGCCATCTCCTGCACCTCCCACACAATGCCTGGCACACAGCAGGCACTTACAAGTCAATGAACGTTCGTGTGTCACCTTCTGTGGACAAGGCATCGTGTTACTCAACAGTTCACTTATAATCTAAATAGTACACGTGTATCACGGGCCTTCCCCACAGCAGGTATTAAATACATGTGTGCTGGATTAATTTGAGTAATGTCCTTAGTCAGAAACTCAACCTCCAATCACAGCAGAGTTCCCCATGGGAAAATACTGCCTATTGGCTAGGATCTGGGTCATCTCCTCCCGGAGCTGTGACACCCCAGGCTTCAGGGCACCACAGGACGGCAGAGGTGGGGGGCCCAGAATGGCCACCAAGGAGGGGAGAGCTAGGCCTCCTGCCCACATCTTGCTTCTCCTCTGGTGATGAGTGGATACATTTAGGGTTGGTGGCCAGAGGGAGGGCTGGTGGACTGTCCAGCAGTGGCAGGCTGGGGCAGTTCATGTGGACTCAGAGGGGGAAGGACAGACCCGGAAACAGAAGCAGGGAAAGGTGTTGCACTTACTGATGGATGGCCTGAAGGAACTTACGCTGGTGTTTCCGAACTCGGGCATGGTCGGGCTTCCTCACCAGCTTGGTGTGTTTGTAAATGAGCCACGTTTCCCTGAGTACGTTGGCGGCAGCATTTTTGACCTGGGCCAGAGCGAAACACACAGGAAACCAATGATCAGCTGGGCCCCCGTGTGCCTGGGCACAAGGGCACGTCGCTGGGATTCCTGGTGCCCACGTGTGCCCCCTTTCCCCTAATCAGCTCCTCTTCTAGGAATCTTTAGATGGAGGATGCTGACCACAGATGAGGGCACAGAAGCCCATCTCTCTGCACGTCTGTGTGTGCCTGGGACACCCCCATGAGCCTGGGGGCAGCTGCAGACAGATGAGAAGAGAGGACGAGGCATTTGTGTCTGGCAGTGCCAGCAGGCATACGCCGCTCACGGAGGGGCAGACACTCACCCGCTTGGTGAGCTGAGTGTCCATCATGAAGTTGTGAACATGCTTCTCCGCTTTGGTGAGCTCCAGCTTCCGGGCCACCACTGCCACCACCAGGGCTGTGCAGCCAGCGCCCTGGGGAAGGGGATTAAGGTGAGGCAGTGACTGAGGGAGATGAGAGAAGGGGTCCTTCTCTCTTTAGCCCCCTCTCTCAATTTTAGAAAGCCTTCCTGGATAAACCCCAGGGCTCCAATCTCTCCAGAAGTTGTCCCTGTCAGTGCTAACAGATGGAGTGTGGGGTATGCTTGCTCTAAGACTCAGATTCCCTCGGGTAGGCAGGGCATAGGCTCCTCCCAAGAAACCCAAAGCAGGGATGGGGCAGGAGACACTGCATCTTTCCCCCACCTAGGGCAGGGTCCCCTTACCATGATGCCTGTGAGGAGACACACACCCTTCCCACAATAGGTGTGGGGCACCATGTCCCCATAGCCGATGGACAGAAAGGTGATGGAGATCAGCCACATGGCCCCCAGGAAGCTGCTGGTCACCTCCTGTTTGTCATGGTACCTAGAAGGAAGGGAAGGTTGAGGTCAGGGCAAACGCGTGGCCGTTTCTTCCGGCCCAGTCAGCTGCCAAAACAGGAGCTCCAGGCATGGGACTACCCCCTCTCAGCCCCTGCCTAGAGGGGAAGCAGCTCTAAAGCAGCCCAGAGCAGACCCACAAGGCAGGAAGGATTGAAGTCTGACCCGAGGGACGCTCTGAAAACACAAGATTTTACATGGGCCCCAGACAGATAGGGCTCAGCTTCAGTGGGAGGAAGAGGGTCAGAGCTCTTTTCCAGCCCCTGGGAATCCAATCCTCTCCCACCCCCCACACTGCCTGCTGGGCTGGGAGGGGGCTTTTACTGGTCCCCCTCCCCTAGCCCAGGAGGCAGAAAAAGACTGAAACACACACCGAAGAGACAAAAGGAGAGACAGACAGTCAGCAAGAGACACTGTGGCGAGGCAGCAGCGGGTACCACAAGCTGCAGCAGGGAGAGGAGGAGATCCGGGCCAGACACAAGGAAGTACTTTGCCGGCAAGTGGGAAAGCTAGGAGGAATGACCCGAAACATGAGGAGGTGGGGGAGGATTTCTCCCAACCAGGTGGCAGGGGCAAGGGGGACAGGCCTGAGTTAGTCTTGAGACTGTCTGCAGGGTCTAACTGCTCCCTTTGCCCTCTGATGAGAGAGGGAGGGAGGACAGGGAACATTACCTCCATTTTATGGGTGGGAAAACTGAGGCTCCAAGAGGGAAAAGGACTTGTCCACATCATACCATCAGCAGTGGAACAGTGGCCAGAACCTGGCTCTCCTGATGCCTAACCTACTTCGAAGGAGAGGGAGACAGAAGAAAGCCTGGGATGTGTGTGTGTGTGTGTGGGGGGGGATCAGGAAGGGAAAGGGAGGGAGAGAACGCACCCTGGAATCTCAGAGTGATAAGCCTGTGGGCAGTAGGGTAAAGGGAGGACATTCCCAGGGCCTACCCTGGGTTCAAGGACACTGTCCCCCCTCACCTTCAAAGGTGGCCACAGGATCCTGGTAAGAATGTTGACAATGAGGGGCTGAGTGAGAGCTCCTGGCTTCTTGAAAGTCCTTCCCCTCTCCACCCCTCACTGGGGCCCATGAGCCAGAGAGAAGCCACAATACTGAGCAAAGACTCTCTCTGTCCTGGGTCATCCTAGACCCCTCCCCCCAATCCTGACTAACCCCTGCCTGCTCCACCCTGGTAGGGTTACCCCCAAAGGGGCTGAGGTGCCAAGAAAGCCCCTCAGGAAGGGGACAGACAAGGGGTCATGCAGGGCCAAAGGGACACATCCACAGAGGAGATACAGGGAGCTTGAAGCACGCTGGGCTGAGAATTTAGGATCGGCCGCTTCTCCCCCCAACACACACACATTCCCCAGGCTCCTGGTTCCTTCTCCAGGGGTCCTCAGGGACCAGGGAGGCTAAGGCAAGAAGTGACCCTTGAAGAGAGTAGCTTGGAACCTCAGAGACAGGGTGGCAATGAGTGCTAGGACCTGTTCTGCCCCGCCTCCCCACACATACCCAGAAGGACCCGAGGGCTTGGCTCTGCCCCAGGCTGAACAGGCTGAGGTGGGTAGGGGGTCCAGCTTGGGGATCTCTGATCCCATTCTACCTCCAAAGGCCGCAGAGGTCTAAGGCTGGTAGAGGCCCCATTGTCCAAGTCAGGGCCCTGCTATCCTGTGAGCCTGGGGAGGATGTGCTGCTCCCGGGGCAGGGGAGAAGGGAAGAATCTTTCTGTGGCCCAGGCACCAGGTTCCTGAGAGAACAGCTCCAGGGGACAGGACACCCCTTAGAGCGTGAGCTGTCCAAGCCCTCCCTGAGCAGGCATCCCCTCCAAGGCATCTTATACCTATTCTGGAGCAGTCTCTGCTCCAGCAAGGAGGCAGCCTAGGGCACTGTGGGACCCCTCTTTCCTCATATGATGCCTCAGTTCGCGTCTGCTAAGCCCACACTCCTAGCTGTGCTCTCCGAGGCTGAGCAGGACAAGGCTCATCCCTTCCTTAGCTTGGAGGAGGCTGTGTGTGGTAGGGGCTGGAGGCGGAGGGGAGGAGAAGGAACTCTGAGGTCCCTAGACCCTGAGAGAACAGCTGCAGGAGGTCTCTATCCCCTCTGAAGCTCCCTGCAGATCCCTCGAGGCCCAGCTGGAAGCCCTGCCTCCCCCACACTCACACTTCTCTCTCCTGAGCCTAGAGGTAACTTGGGGAAGATGTCACTCTTGTCTTCAAACTCTGTCTTGTTGCTATGGGGCAAGCAGAAGAAACTCACTATCGTTTGCTCCCAGAGAGCGGCAACAGACCTCATGTGGGCCGCTTATGGGGAGGGCGACAGCGAGGACTCCCTCACTGCCAGGGCTACTCCAGTGGGATGAGCTATGTAGGGCAGTAGGGAGTTCCCCAAGCCCAGAGGTATACAAGCAGAGGCTGGATACCCACTGCAAGACAACTGTCATACTTGGAAGATGGACTAGAGTTTCTGAGTCCTCTTTCCAGCTCCAAGGAGCCAGAATCCTAAAGTTTTAGGACGCCCTTCTATGAAGTCACAGGGCTATCAATTTGAAGCAGGGTGAGATCTCAAAAACCATCCAGCAGAGCTCCTTCATTTTACAGATGGCGACCCCAGGACACCAAGTGTGCGGCAGAGCGAGGTTCTCCTGACTCCCAAGGCAGTGTGAGGCAGCCTCTCTCTGGGATGCTAGCCAACCCCACCCAACTCGATTCTGAATCATTCAGATTCCCCCTCCCTGCCAAGTCCTATGTCCTCACCTACACTTGAGGCTCTGTGGGCAGGAATGGATCGATGAGCTTCACCTTACCAGGGGAATGTGGGACTCCTGGCAGGGCAGGGGGGAGGGTCTGTGTACTGGCCTTAGGTCTTTTTCCTAGCTCTAAGGTAACATCCCTGACCAGGGCTGGGAAGAAGACAGGAGGGGCTGGCCCTGACAGGCTGGAGGGCAGCCTGACCCCAGGGCTCCCTTCTCCCTTCTTCCTCTCAAGCTCAGGTTGGAGAAATGGTGGCCCCATATCACAGGTGGGAATGGAGAGGGGGTGGAAGATGGGCCAATACCTGAGAGACCCCTTGGAGCTGGGTCCTAGACACATCTCCCAGGGCATTGGTTCCAACCTTTCAAGGTTCATACTCCCTGGCCTCACCGCCTCCCCCAGGGAGCCTCTCCCCACCTGCCCCCTCCCTTAGCCCACCCTCCTCCAGTCACAGCAGCTAATCATAAATTCTGACGGGCATGAGTCAGGGAAAGGGGGGGGGAGGGCAGAACAGCTCTGTGCCAGGGAGGCCAACTCACATTTTTTCCCTACCAGATGACGGAGCAAGGGGAGGGAAGAGGAGAGGTGGTTAAATGAAGCATCTGCCTACCCTCTGGGGAGATGGAGAGAGAGGCGAGTGGGGGTTGGGAAGCCAGAGACCCACACCATCCGCCATGTTGCCAAGGCTCCTTGCCCCACGTAGCAAGCATGATGCTACCTGGGCCTAGTGCTTCTAGCCACTCAGATCTGATTCTGAGCTGAGCTCCAATGGGGGAACAGACAGAAAATGGGTTCTTTGCCCTAAAGGGCACAAGGCAGGGATAGTCTGTCAGCTTCTCCGGCCCCTGAGGCTGCTTAGAAGAAGGATGGTCAAGAGGAATCAGAAAAGAGGAAAGGGGGACAGGATGGAGAAGGGAACTCCCCTGTGTCAGAGAGGAGAAGAGCTGAGGCAGCAGGTGGAGCTGGGTCCAGGGCAAGGAGATCACTTACACCCCAATTCCACCGAGAACCTGGTGCAGCAGGCTCAGGATATAAGAGATCTATAAGGATTCCCAGAAGATCGGAGGTCACAGAGGGCCTCAGGAGCAGAGAGGTACTTGGGTGAGGAGCCCTGAAGGCCCCAGAGATACATGATCTTGGTTACAGAGAGGCTCAGATAAGAGAAGGATTGGGGGGACATCACTGAGGGCCCCAAGGGAACAAGGAAGTAGAGAGGGATCACAGAGGAGCCCACAGGGAGAACTAGTATCCCATGGTGCAGAAAAGAGGGCTGCTCAGGATGGCAGAGTTGAGGGGGTGGGTCTCGAGAACCTAGAGGGAAATGGAAATCAGGACCCGGGGGAGAGGAGCCAGAGTCTCACTGAGGATAGAAGGGGCAGAAAAGGAGCTGGGAACAGAGAGGCCTGGTATGAGGGGGGCTAACTGGGCTTCCCAGGGAACCTGCAGGGCAGCGGGAATCACAGGGGCCTCTAGAGGGGGAGTCAAGGTCACACTAAGGATGGAAGGAGGAAAAGAGCTGGGATCACAAGGACCTTGGGTGGGTGGAAAAGTGCTGAAGTCACAGAGGCTCGGTATGAGGGGGTCACCCCTCAAGGGAAGGGGAAATCAGGGCCACACTGGGAGAAGAGTGGGGGGTGGGTCATAGGAGCCCTGGCTGGGTGGGGAAGAGCTGAGATCAGAGCCTTGGTATGAGGGGCTTAATTCAGGGTCACAAGGACTCCCAAGGCAAGAGAGAGTCAAGGCCACACTGACTTTGGAAGGGGGAGAAAAGTGGCAAGCCCCAGAGGCGCCAGGCACACCTCTCGCAGACTCGCACGGTCCAGGCCGCAATGATCCAGGAGGAGATGCTGAAGACGAGCAGTACTGTGCCGGGACAGATGGTCATGAGGGTCTTCATGACAAAGCGGGTGTCGAAATGGATCTTGTTGAGGGCCCCGATGCTTCTGGACGAAGCGTCTGTGAAGAGCTTGCTGTGGAGGAGCATGACGCGGCCGATGAGGTAGAGGCGCAGGAACATGGGGATGGAGAGGATGACGTCCACGTCCGCGTCTGCCACCGATGTAGTGTAGGTGAAAGCCAGGCGGGCTGTCCATGTGAACAGGTACTGGCCGGGCACGGGGTGCACCGCGCACACGGCCAGCTCCAGCGCGATGAAGAAGATCCGCTCATAGGTCATGGCGATGCGCCAGTCGTCAGCCCCATTGTCCACCATGAAGAGCTGCAGAGGGAGGAAGGGAGGAGACTCTCAGCGCCAGGGGAGAGGGAGGAAGGGGCTGGCCGAGCCCCCAGTGCAGGTGGGGAGAGGGAGGGGAAGAAGCATTTGGACAAGCACCCACAGTGCCAGGCACTGTGCTAAGCACTCTGATCCTCACAACCGCCCTGGGAGGGAGGTGCTTATTATTCCCACTTTACAGTTGAGGAAACTGAGGCAGAGGTTAAATGACTTGCCCAGGGTCACACAGCTAGTTCATATATGAGGTTGGATTTGAGCTTGGGTCTTCCAGACTCCAGGACCAGCATGTTCTGGCCACTGCCAAGTAAGGAAGGTTCCCTGAGACAAGAATGTCGGGGTCAAAAGAACCTTTAGTGGGGCCGCTAGGTGGTGCAGTGGGTAGAGCACCGGCCCTGGATTCAGGAGGACCTGAGTTCAAATCTGGCCTCAGACACATAACACTTACTTAACCCCATTGCCTAGCCAAAAAACCAAAAAACAAAACCAAAAGAACCTTTAGGGAACAGAAGGCTAGAGAGCTGCGAAGGTGATGCAAGCATTTGGGAAAACAGCGTATATCACCAACGTCACAACACTGCTCTCCCAGCCAAACTGAATGTTGACGAACCCACGCGATGCCCGGCCAGAGGGAGGCCGAGCACGGCCGGGACAGAACAGACAGACGTGGACCAGACGCATTCACTCTAAAGGATGGCTCTGATGAATCTTTTTGTCGCCAGGAAGGGCTCCTCCTGGTGGGGGCTGGGAAGTGACTGCCTCAGGAGCCCAAAAGGCACCGACAACATACGTTTTAAGAACGTCGTCCACATCCCTTGACCCAGCGGCTCCTCTCCTGGGCGTCCACCCCAAGGAAACCCAAGGTGGTGGGAAACGCCTATGTGCACAAACATCTCATAAGCATCACTCTGTAGCAGGAAAAGAAGGGAAGCGCCAGGGGTGCCCCTGGACTCGGGAATGGCAGAACAAACTGGAGAAGGGAGTGAGATGAGAAGGCTTGAACATGATGAATGCAGAGAAACACGGGAAGACCTGGAGGAAGTGAGCTGAGCAAAGCCAGCAAGAGCAGAACAATCTCTGTGAGGCCTAGATAACGTAAATGAAAGCAGTCCCAACTCCCAGCACCGCCCCTCCTCTTGGGAGAAAGGTGGTGGGCTATGGTTGCAGAACCGGGAGTGCACAGCTGGACTTGGTCACTAAGCTGTTTGCCAGGGAGTGTTCTGTTAGGGAGAGGGGACACCGGGAAGTGAGAGCAGTGTAAAAAAGCATTAAAAAGTGTTTTGGTTTTTTATTTTAAAGAAAATGTCAGAGCTGAGAGGGCCCTTAGAACAAAGAATGTCAGAGTTTAGGGGGCTCTCAGAACACAGGCTGTCAGAGCCGGCAGGGCCCTTAGAGAGCAGGATGTCTATCAGGGCTGGGAGGGCCCTCGGGACAGAGAATGTGACTATGACTGGCCTACGCGATAATTCTGATAGTGAAATTCAGCGTGACAAGGGCTCTTTCCGATGTCACTCATGAGGAAGTACACATAGATCCTTGAAAATATTTGGACGGAGATCGTGAAAAGTATCTGAAGGATCCTTCCTTTGACAGCCAAACCATTTTTCTACTGAACCTTGTTGGCCACCTCCAGGTCATCATGAAAAAAGTACCGTGACCTAGAACGCGGCCACACTTGTGAGCACAAAGTGAGCTTGTCATCCTATCCAGGTAACTTAGTCTGCAGAAAGAGTGGAGTCAGGAGCCCACACTAATACAGATCTTTCTAACTGGAAGAGACAAAGCAAAGAACAATCTGATAAGCAAGGCAAGTCAAAAGGCAAGGACGGAAAAGCAAAGCAAAGCATCGGTTTCAGCGCAAACAGTCCCCGAGGAAGCCTCACAGCAACTGGCTGAAAAAGGGAGAAGAATCCAGGCTCTGACTTGGATTCCTTTTCTGAAGGAGTCTAGTGATATTGATAAATTAAATGACGTGATAAATTAATCAATTAAATGGATAAAATTACTTGATAAATTAATTAATTGATAAATTAAATGACCTGAATGGCTCAGGGTCCCCAGTGGAAGAGAAAAGTTTGATATTAAAGTCTGAAGGCGGGAAAAACAGGCAATTTTGGCTCAGTTGGAATCTCTGTATCCATCTTCTTCGCACTGCGGCTTGTAAGTGGTGGGGACGAAAGCTTTCTCCTAGATGAACCAACTGAGAAGGAAAACACTTATACCAGTTCCTTGGACATGTTCTTTAGTAGGAAGGAAGAGACTGAAATGCTAGACACTGAGCCAGCAAAGGAAGGTGAGTTTGGGGAGAGTGAAGGAGAAGAGGGTTCCGGAGTCTACAGGCACTGCTCAGTTTCATGAGCCACCCTTTGGATCGATGCAAGCCACATTGATGCCTTCTGCCAGGAATCCTCCCCCCAGATTCCCGATAATACCTGCAGCAGAATTCTGAAACACTGGAACTAAACTCTCAGCAGATAGTTCTTTCTCACGAAAAGTGTTTAGTCTCTTCTATTAAGCCAATTTTTCCTTGAATCAGATGTGTCATTTTAATTTGGATTTCTTTAGCTCTTGGTTTTTAAAATCTCAGAATTACTTTTGATACATAAAATAGTTTTCCTTTGAAACTGGCATGTCGCTTGCACATGAAATTAAAGAACAGAGCAAAATAATGAAATGCAGGGAGACAAAAGAAATACACCAAGCCAACTGAAAACATCCTCTTGGTAAAACATTATCTGTTTTACATGAAACAAAAAATCTTGCCTTGAAATTTATACAGTGAGCCTATGCATAATTGCTTGGGGAAAAAATCTATTTTTTTCCTGAAATATTTTTCATTCCTGAGTATTTAAATTTTTCATACTGTACACATGTCTTACAACACATGACATGAGCAGCAACTGAAAACGAAGGCCAAATAATACATGTTACCCACCAAGGCATGTGGCCATTGTAGCTCCCATAGTGCTTCACAATCTACTCAGTCAGGGTTATTACATTAACTTCTTAACCAGAGTCAGTCACTGTTCATAGCGTTCTGGCGGGCACTCTAGGAAGCGGTAGGACGTCACATTTTATTTACTTTAGCAAGTCAGTATATTTTCTGTATTTAATTACAGAAAGTTAACAGCTTTTGAAATTTATTTGCAAATAAAGTTTTTCCACTTGGCTGTATTTGGTTGCCTGCCTGTTTGAATGCTATGCTGGCTCTTTCCAAGCCTTGTGCCCAATGTCTTTAAGAGTTCATTTTATGTAAAGCACCCACTGGGTGTGGGAATCTGATGTACTTGGAGATGCTTGATCCATCTACAAAGAACAGTTAGGAATGACTTCATAATAAAGGGCTCCTCGTCTCACTTGGGCTCGTTCATGCATTTTAAAAATTGTAATGTTAGACTTGTGTGCATGGGCATAATTAAGGTACATCACTATTGTAGGTTAAAAGGTACATATGGTAAGACACGTTTTGTTTTTACTGAATGATCCCCATCCCAAAGCATGAATAAAATTAGGGTTAAATGTAAAACACAAAAACCACAGAATGTCAGAATTGAAAGAGTCCTTAGAACACAGGATGGCAGGGCTGGGAGGGCCTGAGACACCGTCTGGTCCCACTGGCTCATTTGAGAGGCTCGAGAAAGCCTTCCTTCCAATCTCTACTCCCTGCTCCAATTACTTGCTCTTTACCTCTCTGAGGGTATGCTGATTGCCCCAGAAGGAAATTCTCTCCTAGAGGACAAGAACTGATGTATTTTTGTCTTTCCATCCACAGGGCCCTGTCCGCAGTGGGCACTGAATCAGTGTTTGCTGAATGAGCTGAATGCATCCTTTGGAAAGCCCAGGCTGGCTGGCCTCTTAGAGCAGAAGCCTTAACAGAGAAGCCCACTTCCCCTGGCCCAGCAGAGGGGTTTCTCCAAGGCTGTGGCTAGAAGGAGCTGCCCTCTGCTGCTGGGCTGCGGAAGCTCTGGGCACAGGGTGGGGCTGAGGCAGGGGCACTCACCTGGATCTCCCGGGCGTGGTACATGATGATGAGACCCAGCAGGATGACAGTGGAGAGGCTGATAAGGCATTTTAGTGTGAATGAATATGAAGATTCCTGGGAACGAGAGAGCAAGGTGTCCATGAGAGTCGGGGTTGGGGGAGTGGCCACACCTCACGCAAGATTGTAGCTTTAGAGCCAGGAAGACTTTCAGAACACAGGGATTACAACACACTCATTTTAAAGAGGAGGAAAGGAAGACTCAGAAACGTCAGGTGATCTGCCCAAAGTCATACAGTGACTTATTACAAGAAGCAGGATTTGAATCTAGATCCTCTGACCTCAACTCCAAGACTCTTTCCTAGACAGCAGCAAAGCCCCCCAGCTTTTCCTTTTGGTAATGGGCTGGAGGCAGGTCTATGGGGAAAGAGGAACAATCCTCCATGGAAAAGTCTGGGGCAGTGGGACATGCTACCCTCAAGGCTTCCTGTAAAAACGAAACCTGTATTTATGGCACGGTGTCCCAGGAGGCCAGGTGACATACTGAGAAGCACAGTGAGCCAGCAGTCACAGGACTTGGCCTCCCGGGGGCCTTTCAGCCTTCTTCCATCCTCCTCCCTAGGTGATAACAAGAATTCGGACCCTTCTAGGGTGCACCACCATCTGTCATGACAAAGTGGGGTCTGGAGTGCAAGTCTAACCAGTGGCCCAGAGTCATGCAGTCAGACGCTCCAGAGCTAGCACTCAGACCCAGGCCTCTGCCATCACACAACAGCCACATCTCCCGGGGCTAATTGAGGAAAAAGACAGGCATGAAACACAGCTGATGAACAGAGAGCATCCCCTGGCGGTCAGCATTATCATGCCCATTCTGCAGATGGCCAAAGTGATTCTGGGAGGGGGAGACAGTTTGCTCATGGTCACACAGGGAGTTACACGGCATCCCTAAGTCTCTCATCTTAGCTCTTTTGGCCCATGATCTGGTTAGATCTCAGACATGCTCCCTGCAAAAGCCTGGGAAGTCAGCTGGAGGGAAGAGCAGGGGACACCCTCCTCACGATGCCCAGGGGCTACACAGACAGAGAAGCGAAGTGAAGACCTGAGAGGATAAGCGATTGCTCTAAGGTCACACAGCCTCTAGGGAATCAGAGCACTGGGGGAAAGGCCCAGAGGCACGGGTCCTGGAGGAAGGCCCCTTCTCCCCTCTGATTCTGGCCATCCGGGGTCCTTCTCTTCCTTTTTCCTCCTCTTTCCTCTGGATTTTCCTCCTCTAGAGCCTTCCTTCCCTGCCTTTGGGCTCTCTTCTAGACACTCATTTCTGTAGATAAGGCTTCCACGAATATTGTCCACAAAATGCTCCTGCTCTGAGGCCAAAGACCAAGGATGGGCAGGAGCTAAGCTGGTCCCTGCCCTAGCCTTGGCTCCAAAACAGCTCAGAAGGATAGGCCCAGGGACCTCAGGGTCTCATCCCACCCTGCCTTCTTCACTTGAGAATACAGAGGCCCAGAGAGATTGTGATTTGCCCAAGGTAACACAGGTAACAAACACCACAAGTGAGATTTGAACCCAAGACCTCCAACTCACCGGGAGCCAGGTGTTCTTTCCACCAACACTATCCTCTAGCCCAAGGCTTCTTACTCTTTTTTGTATCATGGACCCCTCCCTTCTCAGAAGTATTTTAAAATAAGCCAACCTCCCAGCTTGTGTAATGTAACCACCTGGGGTCTGCTGTTTACCTTGGACCAGAGTATCTCATTCATGTAATAAACCAAAGTCACGCCAAAAGACAACACAACAACGACCACATTTCAGTTAAAGGTCAATGAAAACAAAGACGTTATTTTTTCCCCATCCAAGTTCACAGATGCCCTGATATTGATCTGTGGCCCTCCTGCAGGCTTGGGGGCCCCTGGGTGAGAGCCCTGCTCTGGTCCATCCCACGCCACAGCTTTACTGGGGCTCAAAGAGAAGGGATGGCCAGTCAGGGAAAGAGACAGGAGCTGAAGTGACGGGGGCCTGAGAAAACACTGGGGGAGAACACATCTGCGGAGGCCCCGACTGAGTTCCGATCAAGTCTCCCAGGAGAGCGGACTCTGCCAGGGAGGGTATGATACTAGGGAAAGAGTACCTTGGTGTAGACGCCCCAGGACAGCTCCGTCTCCGTCACCATAACCACGATGCCAAACATGCCGAAGATCAGAGCGTAGTCGCTGAGCCGCTTCCGCTTCTCAAAGAGCACTCGACGGTGCCCTAGCCGGTAGCCGACGTTCTGGGTCTTCCTGAGGCCCCTCCTGGGAGCGTGGTCTCCTTCTTCCTCCTCCTCCTCCTCCTCTTCCACTCGGTCATGCAGGCTGGCCGCGGACACCCGCACCTGCTCCCCTTTAGACACAACTACTTCCAGGCCTGAGCTTCGACTGGTGCCCCCACCACCTAGGGCCTGCAAGGGCTGGCCCTCAGGCTCGTGGACAGAGAAACCGAGACCACCTGGGGGTTGTCCCACGCCCCCATTGTACCTGCAGCTGTTCATGGCTCTCGGGACAAAGGGGTTGGGCTCGCTGCTTGCTGATCTCGAGGCAGCATGGCTCAGCCTCCCACTGTCGGCGCCAACCTGCGGACAGCAAGGGGAGGCTGTGAGTCAGGACGGCCCCAGCAATGATGCGAGGCAGGTGTCACCATCATTGGATGGCATGGGAACAAAAACAGCCCATTTGTCTAGCACACCATGGAGGGGATTCCTGGTCAGTCGTGGGGGTCAGCTGAGTAATCTCTGAGCTGCTGTCCAGCTATAAAATTCCTACAGCTCCTTTCAACCCACTCCTATGAACTCTGCCTGAATCTCAATGGAATAAAATTCCTATGATGGCAGCTTCTATTTCTAGGGCTCTTTAAGTATTACCAGCCCTGGGAGGGAGATGATCAAAGGATCATCACCCCCATTTGACAGATGTGGAAACTGAGGCTTGGGAGAGGTGAAAAAGCCTTGCCAAGGGTGGGTCACACAGCTGGTAAGAGCCAGGACATGAACACTCTAGTTCCTGATTCCCAGGTCTACTTCACTCTCCGAATCATAGGATTTGGAGCTGAAAGGGATTTTTGAAATCATCTAATCTGACACATTTTACACATGAGGAAACTGAGACTCAGACGTAAGTTGCAGATTCCTTTTATGCTAGTTTCCTCACTGCAAAGTTGGGAACAAGTTTCTGGTCCCTAAAACTACTCTCTCAGGTTCTTAAAAGAGAAGGCCTCAGGGCGCCTGAGTGTAGTCAGGTTAGGAGAGACCATCAGAAAAGCGCTCAAATTTCACCTCAGTTCTCAGGCAGTGTGTTTTGGGGTTTCCAAGCCTTTCCTTGGGACGTTTGATTTAGGTTTAACTTAGCGTCTGCTGTTTCAGGGCACACCATTGATCTGGACTGGCCTCAGTGGGGATGGCACTTCCCTGTCTATTACGGAACCACAGAACTTTCAGGTCAGAACCAGCAGGGATCTTAGATATCCATTATCCATTGGACAGCTGGGGAAACTGACGCCCTGAGAGGAGGAGTCACTGAGGATTATATGATCACAACCACTGAGCTGAAAGGGAACTCGGAGCTAGGCCCTTCATTTTAGCTGTCCAAGACTACTCAGCCCCAAGTGTGACCAAGGTAGACCGGGCCCCACAACGGTCACCACATAACAAATAACAACCAGCTGGTTCTGCCAGCAGAGCCTACGACAGCTCAGGGTTGACGAGTAAATGTCGTCAAGACTGGTTAAGGTTGATCTGGGCAGCCTTCCTGGAGTGGGGGGGGGGGGATGTGGGACAGAGCTCTGGGGGAAAGAGTCCATGGCTTGGCAGGGGTTAGGGCTGAGGGTGCCAGGGGTGGGTCAGGGAAGCAGGAGGGCAAAGTTATTGGAGGGTAAATCTTGGCATCAGGGTGACTGCCTGCTCCCAACATGCCTCTTTTCCAGGGCCTGAGAATCAGGATGGAGGAAACCTTTGAATAGGAAGAAGACACCTTCTACAGCCTTCTACAGATGAAAGACCCTGGGGGCTGGAGTCTGGGGACATGGGCTCCAGATCTGACTCTGCTTAGACCTGGGACAATAGGCAGCCACTTCCCCTTTCTGGGTCTCGGTTTCCCCATTAGTTAATAAGGGGCTAACAAAATTTACACCACCTACCTTCTGGAGCTCTTGTAAGGATCAAAAAAGGATATTGGATTATTCAAAATCACTTTGCAGAAACACCTTGTAAACTATAAAACCGGGTGCCTGTGTGAGGGATGATTATGGGCCTGCCCAGCTCCCACAGCCAAACAAAGGGCTAATTATCCCTTCACTCCCCAGTCTCAGAACGACCTGTTAAAAATACTCCCAAGGTGAACAGGCAGAGATGTTGTTTTGCCTGGAAAAGGAACCAAAAAGCCAGAGAAAGAAAGGTCGAAGCAAAAAGCTGGCAAGCCACAAGGAGGGAAGGAACCCTTGTTACAAAGGACAAAACATGCTAGAACGTCAGAGCTGGAAGGGACAGGGAAAACTGGCCAGCCCAAGGCCTTCATCTTACACATGGGGAAACTGAGGCTTGGGGAGCACAAGGTCACACCTTGTGAAAGTCAGAGGGTGGCAAAAGTGGGGGGAGGTGGGGGGGAAGCAGCTCAGTTCCCTTGATTCCCAATCTGATGTTTACCGAGGGGCTTCTTCCCTATTTACTGAATGTTTTTTCTATGTCCCTTGGCCCACAGGGTCTTCTGAGTCTGGCCTGAGGGCCCTCTCAGCTCTGAAATCACATGGTCTAATGGCCTTTCCTGGTTCTGTGATTCTGTAAGTCTATGATTCTCTATCACCCAGCAAATGCTGCACCTTAAATCCACATGCAGGATCATGGTGGAATTCTCACTAGGGCTGTAGAGGCTGAAGGCTATTAAAGGGGCTTAAGAAGGGAGAGGAGTGGTTTGGAGGGCTGGGAACAAGTGACCTTCTAGAAATTCATTGACAAAGCTGCCATTTGGAAATCTGGCTCATCGGCTGAATGCCTCGGGGCACAGTCCACGGCAGCAGGAGTCCTGCCAGGCTGCTTTTGGCCTTCTCCCCCCAGCCCATCTTTATCTGACCTGAGTTGTGAAGAGCCCGAGTTGGTGTGGGGGCAGGCTCAGGGAGACTCCTAAGGTCAGTACTCGACTGGAGTGGCCAAAAGGGCCCCTGGCAGATGTACCCAGTGTCAAATGGACCAAGTGTGCTTCAGGAAAAACCCTCCTTCCTCATATCTACTGGGTAAAAGGAGTCAGCTGTGGTCACACTCTATGGCTGATGCTAAGTAAGTCTTTTCTCCTCTCTGGGTTTCAGTTTCCTAACTGAGTAAAATAACAGGGGGAGGGTTGAACAAGATGTCTCAGTGCCCTTCCAGTTCTGGCAATCGGGGATTAGAGGGTGGCTTTTCTGTCAAGTGGAAGACCTGAAAGAGCTGCCTCAGGTGGTACTGGGGGAAGACAAGAGAAAGGTTTCTTCCCCCCCCACCCCCCATGCTGGTGGTCCCTGCCTATGTAGTTTACCAGCCCTGGGAAGTGATGATATGGCTGAAATAAGTTCCTGGGAACAACTAGTCATAGAAGCTAGACTATCAGAGAGGGAGGGCCTTTAGAATACATCCTGAGGGCTAGGAAAGACACTAGAACGACACATGACAGCTGAAAAGGACCTCAGCACGCAGGATATGAGGGTTGGGAGGGACCAGCTCCCTCATTTTACTCCCAAGAAAAGAAGGGGCTTGCTCAAGGTCAAATGTGGGACCCAGAGTCACAGAAAGGATCAGGGAGCCCAAGCACATCTCCCACTCCAAGAATAAAAGCAGAGGGCAGAGACCTAGTTTGAATCAAGTGACTCAGAGGAGTGGTAGGGGGAAAGACCATCCTGGAGAAGGGTGCTCTCCAAAGGAACTGAGAAAAAGAGGAACTCCAAGGGTCTGAGGCTCCCCCCAGGCCTCCCGATTTGGTGAGGTTAGAAAAGGAACTGATTTTTCCTGCCCCAACAAGATTGAGGTAGAACCACCCCAGATTTACTCCAAAACCTTACTCTCAATCTCAACATCCCCACATCCTCTTCAGGAACGGACTTCAACTTTCCCAGAAGGAAACAATTGGGCGGGAGTCCCCCTTAAAACTGACCCAGAGCTCTAGCATTCCGCATCCCCTCCCATTGGGAAAGGGACTTCAACTTTCCCAGAACGAAGCGTCTGGAGGATAGGGCACAGGAAAGATGGGAGCTACCTTCCTACAGAGCAGATGGGCAGTACTGGGTGAAGGACGGGAGCAGCTTACCCAGCCAGGGTCCTCCCCTTTCTTTCGGGTCATAGGCTCCAAGCAAGGACCCTCCCCTCCCCTTGGGGCTGGATTCTTCGCCAACCTGGGGCTCAGCCTCTGACTTCCTTCTCCCTCCAGACAAAGGAGGAAGGTCTTTGCATTATGCAACGGCCCCGACTAATTGCCTGGTGCCTCTCTCAGCCTAAGCTAAGTGTCTCGGGCTTCGGGGCTCCCTCCTATAGCTCCCCAGTGGCAACCCCATCAGCAGGGTGCAATTAGTGGCGGTTCTCCCGAGCCAGCCTGACGCCGCCACCGGGCGCCCTCCGTCTGTGTCTCTTTCCCCGGTGCGGCATCAACACACACGCACTCACACCCGCCCCTGCCGCTGAGGCACTGGTGGGGGGGGGCACCTGCCAGGCCCCAGGCATGGGGAAGGGTCCCAGGTGACTCCCAGGATTCCTTCCTGAGGGACCCTGCACCCCCTCCCCCAATCTTCCCGCCCAGATCCCTGGCCAGCGCACTGGAAGCCAGGCGACTGTCGCCTCACCAACCACAGGGCTGGCCCCTGCCCTTCACGGACCCCTTCCCGAAGCCCTCGACCCCCAGGAACCCCCTGCCCGCCTCGACCCCTTACCTCCAGCTCCCCACTTGCTGCCCGCTGCCCCCCGCTTGTAGCCTGCTGTCCTCCGCAGCCCCTCGCTCGTAGCCTGCTATCCCCAACTTGTATCCCGCTGCCCCCCGCGCCCCCGGCCCGAGCTGCCGCCTCCCGGGGGCCCCAGGACTCCCGGGAGCCCGGTCCCGAGCCGGCCGCCTACCTGCTGGAGCGGGGCTGAGCTCGGGCTCCAGGGGCCGCGGGCGGAGCAGCAGGAGGAGGAGGGGGAGCGGGAGAAGTTTCCGAGGGGCGCCGGGGGAGGCGGCGGGGTCGGCCGCGTCCTGGCCGCGGCCCCGGGTCCCGGCGGGCTCCCCCCCGGGGCCGCGGGCCGGGGCCGCGGCGGGAGTGGGCAGTGCCAGTAGCCCGGCGGCGGGCCATGGCCCGGGGACTCCGGGGGGCGGCTGCGGGGCGGGCGCGGGCAGGGGGCTGCGGGGGGCGGCGGCGGCGGCTGGTGCATGCCCTGCCCTGGCCCGGCCGCCCCGCGCCCCGCCCCGCGCCGGCAGCAGCCGCGCCGCCTCGCGCCGTCTCCACCTCTACCGGGGGCTGCAGCCGCTGCAGCCACCGCTGCCGCCCGCCCGACTGGGGCCCGCGCCCTCCCGGGGGCCGGGGACGTCCGCGCCGGCCCGCTGATTGGTGGGCTCAGGCGGGCGCGAGACCCTCGTGACGCTCTCGTCCCGCCCCGCAGGCCCCGCCCCCTGCTCGGCCCTGAAGCTCCGCCCCGCCCCGCCCCGCCTCCCCCCATCTCCGCTCCCCTACGGGGTCCCGGGCTCGTGCTAAGTCGGTGAGCACAGGGCCCCGGGGAGCGCAGGGCAGCATCTCTAGCTGGTGCCATGCGCACCCGTTCCCTTTGCCGTGTGCTCACCTGCTCGGCCACGCGAGTCTCTTTTCTCCCGGGATTGGGAAGTGGGGCGCTGAGGGTGGAGGGGGTCTCGATTAGCTGTTGGTCCCCAGCTCGAGAAAGGAGAGAAATTCCCGTTGTAGGGAAGCGAGTGCTCTCAGGCTAGGGGATCAGAGGTTTTCCTTCTTACTACCTATGTGACCTTGGAGAAGTCCCACAGCGCACCCCAGCCTCAGGGTCCTCATGTGTAAAGCACACGAGATGATTTCTAAGGGCCTTTCCAGGATGATCATTCCATCTGTGATAGTCACTATTCGACGGCTTCTCCCGGCTCTGACATCCTCTATTCTGACTGTGTTCTATAGCTCCTTCCAGCTCTGACATTCCTTGTTCCATGTTCTACATGCTAAGGACTCTTGGCCTTAATACAGGGTTCCTAGGCTTCAGAGGAAAAGATCATTTGGCTTCATGGCAAAGGGGGTGTTTGAGTTGTACCTGAAAGAATAACATAATCACTTCTCCCTCAGATACAGGTTTAAGGCCTTACAATGCCTGAGCAGCTGAACACACATTAACTCACTGTACTTTCACAATAGCCCTGACATCAACAGTACTTCATTTTTATAGCTGGAGAACCTCAGGATCAGAGAGTATGGTCACAGCATGAAGGGAAGACTCAGGACTAGAACTCAGGCCTTCCTGACTCCCACCCAGCATAGGACTCTTTCCATTACACCAAAGTGAGCCCTATGCTGATATCCCTTCTTTGCTCAGTTTCCTTCTTGCCCCGTCTTCCCTCACTTAGTCCCCAGGTTTAAGTTAAGGACAGGTTTAAGGGACAGGTTTAAGCTAAAGGGCTGAGTAGCTTTGGGCAAGGAACCCGGGCCTCTCTGTGATATAAGGGCCCCACTCAGTAGCCTAGAAGGACCAGGTATTTGCCTTGACCTTGGATGAGATTTATCCAGGGTAGGCATGATAGGTAAGTAGTCCTGCCTCTCCTCTCTCACTGGAGGGCTGAACTGTCAATCAGTATCGCTAGTAGAGTGGCTTGTAACAAGTCTCACCAGGTAGAAAGTGGATCATGCCTAGTAGCTGAAGCCCAGACCTCTATTTTGGGTTTTCTTTCCTCAGACTGATGGTGATTTGAAAGAGAATGGCCCCTCCATCTCATCTGCCCATAGCAACTCTATTTACTATGGTGGCCCTTTCTCTGCCAGTCTGGGTCATGCCTTCCTAGAATCTCACAATGTTAGGCTTGAAAGAGCTCTTAGAACACAGAACAGCTGAGCTGGAAGGGGTCCTTTGAATAAACAGAATTTTAGACATGGAAGAGTCCTTAGAATATAGGACATAGAATTGGGAAGGAACCTCAAACAAAGCATGACGAAACAGAAATGGACATTAGACCACAGGCTTGGTCCCACAGGACAAAACTTGGAGCAAAAGGGAGCATTGCAGAGAGATAGGTTTCAATGCAATCGAAGGAAGAAGTCTCTACCAATTAGAGCTGTCCAAAAATGAAATGGGCTGCTTTGGAAGGTAGCATTTCTCCCTTACCAGAAATTTTTAAGAGACAGATGTGTAACATCTGTCACAGATATAATAGAGGAGATTCCTAAACAAGGGCAGGGTGGGCTAGCTAACTGTTGAAGTCCCTTCCATATTTGAGATTCTGCGGCCTTGAGGTTCTGTCAGAAGGGATCATAGCACAGAGAATGTCAGAGCTGGGAGGGCCCTTGGAACACAGAATGTCAGAGCTGGAAAGGCCCTTTAGAATACAGAATGTCAGAGCTGGGAGGGCCCTTGGAACAGAATGTCAGAGCTGGGAGGGCCCTTGGAACACAAATGTCAGAGCTTGGGGGGCTTTTAGAACACAGTGTCAGAGCTGGGAGGGCCCTTAGGACACAGAATGTCAGAACTGGGGAGCCCCTTAGAACATAGTACCCCATCATAATAACTGCACAAAGCTGGAGAGAATGGCTAACACACTGGATCGCAAAGGATACAGAAAGAGTTTGCCTGGCTAGAACACAGAGCTAATAAAGTTAGTAAGATAAAATATAACAGGGATAAATGTCAAGTCTTCCATCTAGGTTCAAAAAATGGACTTTACACGAATGAGACGAGGGAGGCAACTGTTAGATAGCAGTTTGACTGACAAAAGATCTCAGTGCTTTAGCGGACTACCGACTGATTATGAGCCAACAGGGTAAGATGGTATCCAAAAAAACTCTTGTGATCTTGAGCTGCCTTGGGAAAGGCAAAGCTCCCAAGAGGGAGGAGGTGATGGTCCTGTTAAATTGTGTGTGCCCTGGTCAGACCACATCTGGAATACTGAGACAAAATGTGGCAGAATGGATGGAGTGTTGGGCTGGGGAACTTGAGGACACCTCAAACGAGATCATGTGAAACTCCGGATAAATGTCAGTTGTTATTATTTGTGATCTTATCCACTGCCACAGATTCAATTAGCGCCACTGAAGAGAACTCCCAAATCTCTGTGTACAGTTCTGAAACTCCTTGGCAATTAAGCTCAAGAAACATTTAGTAAGTGGCTCCTTGGAGCCAGACACTGTACTAGGCACTGGGGATACAGAGAAAAATATGAGATCCTCACACACATGGACCTTCCATTCTACTGGGGAGACCATGGGAAAGCAAATCAATAAATAATAAGTCATTTCAAAAGTGAAGGAGACACTGTGAAGAAGCAGGGCAGTCCAGAGAGGCCCAGGCTGTGCTTTGAAGGAAACTAAGGGTTTTGCAAGATAGAAATGAGGAGGGGCTACATGATAATCGGACAAAAACATCGAGGTGGAAGGTGGAATATCACATGGGTGGAAACAATCAGAGGCTAGTTTGACTGTAACAGAGATTGCACAAAAGGGGGAATATTATGAAATCCAACAGGAAGAGGAGGTGGGATCCACATTGCTGAGGGCTTTCAATACCAGGCTGTGTTTTGTCCCAGAGGCAAAGGAGACACAGTGGAGCTTTGTGAACAGGGAAGTAAGATGAGGAGATCTATATTTGAGAAATACCAGTTTAGCAGCTGTGTAGAAGCAGGCTAGGGAGAGGAGAGACTAGAAGCAGGACAACTAATGAGAAGGCTCTGAGTCAAGGCAAGAGGTGATGAGGACCTGAAACAGGGTAAAGGGTGAGAGGAGGAAAAGAGATGGATATCTGAGCTGTGAAGAGGGAATTGATAAGACTTGGCAAGTGAATGGAAAAGGAAGATGAGGGTGAGGTGGCAAACCTTATGTTGGTTGGAGCTATGGTGGTGACCTTAAGAGAAGCAAAGAATTTTGGGGGAAGTACACAATAATGAGTTCTGTTTTAGAAATGTTGAATTTGATGGGACATCAGGTGGATAATGATGTAGGTAGGAATGGAGTTTGGGAGAGAAGTTAGGGCTGGATGTGCAGATGTGGGAATCTGCATGGAAATGATACTCAGGTATACCCATGTTAACTGATGAGATCTCCATAGGAAAGCGATGAATCCCCAGAATGGAGCCTTTTAGGGACACCTGTACTTGGAGAAATTGAGAAGGATGATGACCCAGCAAAGCAGAGTAAGGATAAGTAGTCACACAGGTAGGAGAAGAACACAGAGAGGAAGGTATCACAGACACCAAGGGAGGAGAGAGTGTCTGGCAGAAGGGGGTAGCTGACAGTGTCAAGAGCTACAGAGATGCCAAGGAGAATGAGGACTGAGAAAGACCACTGGTTTGAACAGTGAAGAAATTGATGGTGACTTTAAAGAGAGAAGCTTCAGTCTAGTGGTAACTTTGGAGATCAGATCACAAAAGATTGAGAAGTGAGTGGCAGGTGAGGAAATTGAGATAATTAGGACAGGAGACCCTTTCTACTTATGGAAGGGAGAATAGATATACTGTAGGAGAAGAGCATGAGGGGATTGCAAGGTCAAGTGATTTTTTTTTAAGCCTATGGGGAGACTTGGGAGTGTTTATAGATGGCATCAAAGAAATCAGTGAATAAGGAGAGACTGAAGATGAGAAAAACAGAGGAAATGACCAAAGAAGCAAACTCTTGGAAGATACAGAAGGGAATGGGGTTGAGGGCATGAGTAAAGGAGTTGGCCTTAGCAAGAAGGGTCACCTCTTCCTTAAAGACTGGATCCTAGGAGGAGAGAATGAGGAATGATGGTCTTGAGTCATGATGTAGATGAGCTGGTGGGTGGATAGCTTCTTTTCTAGATGGAGTAGGAGTTGGGTCCTCTATTGAGGGTTGAGGGATTTGAGGAGAGAGAAGGAGGTCTGAAAGAGTTGCAGTGGAAATTTTGACAGGGAAGAAAAAAGGCATTGTGGGCAACCTTGAAGGTCAAGTTGATATCAGGGGACATAAAATTGTAGAGAACCCAATTAGCTCAGGGTAGGGTGACTTTTTTCAGCAGCACTCACCAACAACTAGGTAGAAGAGATGGGACTGGGAACTGGGAGGAAGGGAT